CTAGCTTCTCTCATACCCATCCTTTCATCTCCATCTGCACGTAAATTCCCTTATATCAACTTTTCTTTACTTTTTACCTCACTTTTTTTTATATTCAGAGTGATCATTCTAAAATGTAAATAGTCATGACACTAACCTCTTTAAACCCCCTCAGTGGCTTTCCCATTGTCCTCGGGATCAAGTCTAAACTCCTAGGTGTGGTATACAGTCCCCTTCAGGGCTGTGGTCTTTTGTGACTACTTTCTAGACCTTCGAGTGAGGCTAAATACACCTTGTGCGTTGCACCTCTCTCTTTTATAGCTTAGTGAGAGGTATTTTAAATCTTTGTTCACACTTGTCTCCCCAGCTATAGATACGTTTGATCACCAAGTATCTCATCGCCTCACATGAGGACAGGGACATAATAGGGGAAATGAACAATTCAATGAGGAGGTTAGACCAGTTCAGTGGCTTTCACCTCTGGGCAAACTGCTTCACCTGTCTGTGCTGCCGAGTATTAGAATCCCTACTGATGCTGAGGCAGGTGGCCCAGAGGCCCCCACATCTATGAAACATTGAGGCAGACATCTGTACATTTTCTTCCAGACCTAATCTTCTATGGGGCTCTCACATTGGGGGGCTCTCACGCATGGTGAGGACCATGTGATTTATTTGGATGGGTAAGGGTGATTTGAGGTGAGGGAGGCGTAGCATAAGGTTGGGGTACTTCATGTGCAAGGGGGGCAAGTGTAGAGGCATGTTCATAATTAGCCTTTTCCTCCCCTTCTGAGTCATTTCTGCTGACAGGCCTGGTGCATGTCTTTGTGTATTAGGTGGAAGGGGTGGGCTGTGGAAAGAGAAACTCTCAGCACACGGAATTTCACGTGGACTCATCAGAAATACAAATATTTGAATTTGTACAATTGGTAAGAGGTGTATTGCCAAAAATTTTACCCAATTCTGTGGCATCAGGAAGGACACATGAGGGATGTGAGTGGCCTGAGGGAGAAACTGTATGATACATATTCACTATTCAAACAATAAATGCTTATTAAGTCTTATATAAAGAGGCCAGTTTTTGACTAAATGTTAGGAACCCTCTCATGGTAAAGATATTATATATTGGTGTTCTCTAGGGTCTTGGCTTTCTTCATTCTTATTCTCTGTACTCTTCTTGGACAATAATGTGCATTCCTAAGGTCTGAACTATATCCCAAATATTTGTTTCCAGTTCAGAGTTCTCCCATAAATTCCATTCTTGAGTATCAATCTGTCACGGGACATACCAACCCAGATCTTCTGCAGGCATCTCTAATTTAGCACGTCCAAAACTGACCTCACCAGGTCCTGTCTCTTTGCCCAAACCTGGCTTTTTGACTGTGCTTAAAAAAAAATTTTATTTATTGGGGTGCCTGGGGGGCTCAGTAGGTTAAGCATCCAACTTCAGCTCAGGTCATGATCTCACAATTCATGGGTTCAAGCCCCACGTCGGGCTCTGTGCTGACAGCTCAGAGCCTGAAGCCTGCTTCGGATTCTGTGTCTCCATCTCTCTCTACCCCTCCCCTGCTTGTGTTCTTTCTGTCTCTCAAAAATAAATAAAAACATTTCATAAAAAGGTAAAAAATAAAATAAAATGTTTATTTATTTATTTTCAGGGTCAGGGAGGGGCAGAGAGAGAGACAGGGAGAGACAGAATCCCAGGCAGGCTCCGAGCTGTCAGCACAGAGCCCGACGTGAGCTCGAACTCACGAACCATGAGATCATGCCCTGAGCAGAAATCAAGTCTATTTAACTGACTGAGCCACCCAGGCACCCCTCTGCGTGTGCTTGTTTGGTGTCAGCTGGTGGTGCCTCCTTTTACCTAGCGATTCAGGGTGGTTATCTTTAGCTCCCCTCTGTCCCTCATCTGCTGTGGTAACTCCTTTCTGGTATGTCTCCGCCTCGCTATTCTCGCAAGCGTGGTGTGTCAGCTCCAGCCCTCCCCAGCACTCCACTCCTGGGCAACTCTAATCATCACATCGTCCTTGTCCCTTAGGCCCCCAGGTCAGGCATCGCCTCCTCTCCGGTTCCTGAAAGAGTGGTCTATCTCCCATGCAGTTTGTTGTAAACCACTTGGTGGCTTCCTACTGTGTCAAGGGGAAATGCAAATCCCTTAGCATGGTGTGTAAACCCAACTCCCTGTGTTCTAGCCCTGCCCCTGTCTCCTCTTGGATTTCTAGGCTGCAGCTATGCCCAAGGACTAGCAAACCCTTAGTCATGGCATTTGCATTCATAGCTCTATTTCTTTAAGTTACTCCATCTGCCTGGAATGTTCTTTCCCCTCTTGTCCACGTGATGAACATGTGATCATCTTTCTAATGTGGATTCAAATGTTGACTCCTTCAAAGTCTTCCCTGACTATGGGGCCTCTTCTCACAGAAATACCCTACTGTCCCCTTTTTGTGTTCTGCAGCACAGTCCAATAATACTTTTTTTATACAGTGAATTAGGTCACAGGCCTCTAGAGGACAGGACAGGACAGTGGTTAGATGTACAGAACGTGAAGCCAGAATAGCTTATTAGCCCAAGTTCTGGCTCTATTACTTGTTATACGGATGACTTTGGGCAAGTTATTTAACCTCTCTGTGGCTCAGCTTCCTTGTTCGTAAAATGGGCACACTTATAGTACTTATCTCACAGAGTTGTTATGAAGATTAAACGAATATATGTACAACACGTAGAATATTGCCCATTAGGGGTGCCTGGGTTGCTCAGTCGGTTAAGCGTCCCAACTCTAGATATTGGCTCATGTCGTGATCTCATGGTTCTGTGCTGTCAGCGCAGAGCCTGCTTGGGATTCTCTCTCTCCCTCTCTGCCCTACCCACCCCTCCCAAAATGAGTAAATAAGCTGTAAAACAAAACTTAAAGAAAGAATAGCGCCTATTACATAATAATTGTTATGTGAGTGTGTGCTTTTTTTTTTTTAAAATTTTTTTTTTCAACGTTTATTTATTTTTGGGACAGAGAGAGACAGAGCATGAACGGGGGAGGGGCAGAGAGAGAAGGAGACACAGAATCGGAAACAGGCTCCAGGCTCCGAGCCATCAGCCCAGAGCCCGACGCGGGGCTCGAACTCACGGACCGTGAGATCGTGACCTGGCTGAAGTCGGACGCCCAACCGACTGCGCCACCCAGGTGCCCGAGTGTGTGCTTTAATAACAACACAAACGTTAATCTTATTTTAAATTCAAAGCTCCGGACATACTATATCTGACACATGAAGGAATGGAAGGTGGTCAATGACATGTAGCAAATAAATGAATAGTCAGCCTAGAGCCATACTATAAAGTCCCATAATACCCAGTTACTTCCTTTTTGTAACCATCTTCTAGCTTGCTCTAAGTGTCTTTTCCACTAGACTGGAAGCTCCTTTTGCCCAAGGACCACATCCATCTTGTTTGCCACCACATCCCCAGCACCAAGCACCATGACAAGCACATAGCAGGCACACATGCATTTGCTAAGTATATAAATGAAGAATTTTAAGGTCTATAGTTTAGTTATTATTAGTTAAAATTTACCATTTTACCCATTTCTGAAAGTGTAAAATGCAATCCTCTCTCCCATATTACTTGTATGTGAGGCAACAAAATTTTGTACAGTAAAGTATTATGTTAGGCTTAATTCTCTTAACAGAGGGGCTTTCTCATTTCTTTACAGCACAGGTTTGGAGACTTTTTGGTTCATAAACTAATTCTGTGGTACAAAAAGTCCCACCAAGCTCCTAATCTTTCCCGTTTACCACATGTCATTTTACATCCTCAACAAAATTCACAGGCAGAGGTTCTGTAGGAGTTATTATTTGTTTATTCTACTCATTGAATGAGCACATCATCCAAGGGTAAGAAAACAAAGTATAAAGAACTACCCATTATTTTTAGTTTAGGCGGAAAAACAAATCACGTACACAAATACCTACATCACGATGCCATTTTTACTGTCTAGCAATGCGTACGGTAGGATTTCAGAGGATCCTCTTGATGTGATCAGGAGAGGTTTTATAGAATAGCAAAAACTGTAGTTGGTCTTGGTGGGTGGGCTGGATTTTTTTTCTTTTTAAGTATATCCATTTATTCTGAGAGAGACTGAGAGAGCATGAGCAGGGGAGGGACAGAGAGAGGGAGAGAGGGAATCCCAAGCAGGATCCGCACTGACAGTGCCTAGCCCGACATGGAGCCCGAACGCATGAACCGTGAGAACTCGAGCCGAGATCAAGAATCCGACGCTTAACCTACTGAGCTACCCAGGCACCCATGGGCTGGATTTTCCTAGCTTAGAAAGGTACCAGCATTCCCCACCGGGGAAAGGGCATGGAGAAAAGTGTGAACGTGGCATGCCCTGGGAGGGGGCAGAGCATACAGAGTACACTCACAGAAGGAGGGATTCATGCGAGAAGCACAAGTAGAAGACAGGTTGGAGACAGAGGTTTGGGAGAATCTGTGGTGGGCTTTTAATAACAGGCTAGGATATGTGAAGTTTATTTCTAGACAGGGGAGACCTAGAGCTGATTTTAAGGTAAGGAATAGGAAAAGGAAAGCCAAGTCGTGGGAAGAGCAATTGGGTGGCAATATGGCAATGTATAAATAGAGTTCCTGAGCTAAGTTCTGTTTCTAAGTGATGGAACACCCAGTGGAAATACTCAGCAGATGACTAGATGTGAAGGATTATTTGGGGGGAGATACAGCTTTGAAATAACCTGTATAGAACTGATGGTAGGAGGCTCAGGGAAAGACAAAACTGTGGGAGAATACAGAATGAGGACAGAGCTTCAAGTACAGACCTACAACGGAAAATACAAGAAGAAGCCCAGTAGCATGTTGCATATGAAAACCCAGTAAAATGCTAGCCTAGGAAATACTTGGAAGTCCTTTATGACCCATGAAGTCATACAACCCAGACTTTAACAAGTTCTACCTTAAGGCAAAGGCCAGTGAGAATTTGGGAGTGGAGGAAGGAAGAGAAGGAGGTAACTCCAGTGTACCTGTTGAACAGTCAGATCCAGTCCACTTGGGATCACAGCTACACACCCGAGTGTCCAGAAGAAAAGTCCCGTGTCCTGAGCACTGCTCTTGACATATAGGAAGTGGAGTTTCACAGTTGACTCCTCCCCAACCAGTAGAACAGTGACATTCTCCTTTTACACAGATGCCATGGCTGGAACACATCGGGTCCAAGCAGTCTTCTGAAAGCCCCAAAAAAGGAGGAAAAAGGTTGAAAGTGAACAGGTGTTGCCTATATACTTTAGGATGATGAAACTGAGATACTCACACTTGATTTCCTAATACGTCACTAATACGGTATTAAATTAGGTAATAAAATGTCTCATACAAAGGCTGTATTCAAACCAGGAGATGATTAATACTTAAAAATATGTAGGGTATCATAAAGGTTGCATCCTAAAATTAGAAGACGAAGAAAACCACACATACGTTGCTTAAAATTGTTATGCAAGGTGTAGTACTCCCACATAAATGGGTGGCTGCATCAGTGTGGGCTTTCAACAGGAATTCCTTGGCTTCGCAAGAAAGCCTAAGAATTTTGGGGAAGTCATTCCTTGTCTTTTCTGAAATTGGAATCCTAGCTCTGAGAATTGGCTTTCACTTGGTATGTCTAGAGTAGTGTGTGTGTGTGTGTGTGTGTGTGTGTGTGTATGCACATATTACATATAAATCAATATATAAAATATAGAAATATACTACACATATATGTCTACAAATATAAAAAATATATAAAAATATTAAAACATAAAATATTAAAAATATTAAAACATATTTTTTAGGCTTAGATTATTAGGTATTAAGTGAGCTGACTGCTGTTACATGAAATCATACAACATAATCAATTTATTATAATCTTTCATTAATTTCTCAGAAGCACTGAAAATGCAACATTCTTAACAAAATTTTAAAAATTATTAAAAAAATTGTTTGTGTGGCCTCTCCTTCCATCAGGATGCCGTGACATAGTCTTTGATGATTTAGAATATCACCGATGCAATTCTATTTGTCTCTAATTCTGGGAGTCTGGAAATTTTTGGACACGTTATAACAAATGTATAAACTCTTAGAAGTAGATCCCTATACTTGCCTTGGGGAAAATTGTTTTGTGTTTTTAATTGAGGGGCCATTCCATGGGAAATGACAAGGTTGTTTCCAAATTTCTACTCTCTCGATACAATAAGATGAAACTAAAATGATTCCACATAATGAGGGGAGTATGCTTTGAATAAGTAATTCAAAAAGTATTCCAGCAATGAAACAGACTGATAAAACCTGCCTTCATTCATAAGACTGGTCTGGTCTCGGGTGTGGCTTTTGGTAATGGAACAGAGCCTAAACATTGTTACAATTAGTGCTATTGTATTATAATTAGCCCATAACCTTAAGGTCATTAGCACAGTGCTTTAGTTCCTGAGCTAATCAGCAAATAAATACTAAAAGGTACATCTGATTTTATTTTGTTCATTATTTGGATCAAGAGGGAAAGTCTAAAAGTACAGAATATTTTTTAGAAGAAGGCTATTTTGTTACATTAAAACACAACAACTATAACAAACAAAATAATAGTGAACTTAGTTTGTTTTATTAAAAGTCCACCTTCAAGGAATACGGAAATCATACTTAAATCAGAGGCACAAAGCCATATGTCTGAATGAGCCAGCAAGCAGCATACATGAATGAGATGAACTGGACGTAAGAAGCCAGTGTGTTGGGAGGGAACTGAGAGAAGGATCCAGTTTAAAGGAAACGGCGGCTGCTTGGTTCCAGCTGATTATCGCCATGTGGGAACACAGGCCCATGGTTATCAGATTTTCCAGTTGCTCAAGAAAGACCAAAATGAGAGATCTTTATAGGACGCTTCTCTATTTTTAAATTTTGGCAAATAGATCACATGGGGGAAAAAAAACCCAATAAAAACACTACCACCACCACTGTTGTGTGACCCAAACACAACCCATCCATAAGCCCAGTTCAGCCTGTGAGTTTCTGGTCTATGACCTTTAACTTAAAACATTTTTTTTCTGCTGTATTTGACAAGCTTATACTGTTAAATATGGTGGGTATTCTTCCTTGCTATCTTGGTTATTCTACACATTTTCTTAGAGATCCCTAGAAGGGAAATTTAAGCTAAGTCCTTTTTCAAGTGCCTCCCAAATTTTGATCAGAAGGGTCTAAATTAATGAGGTTAAACATTTTCATGGAGAACTGTAGATGCTGTGAGGGGTATCATTGTTTGGGTGCACATGCATATGCCCATGTAACGTCTGAGTTTACAACTTAAACATAGTGACTGCAGTTGGATAACCATAAAAACGATTTCCAGAGGTAACTCAGGAGCTCTGGTGTCCTGTCCAGGCCCAATGCCATTCACTGGAACAGATATAATCTTCACGCCAAAATTCTACGATTGCTAACGGGAGGTGGAAAGCTAAACTCTTGGAGCGGAATGAGATTAAGCCCTTTAGAATGCTGTGTAATAGTCTTAATGAGCCATCTTTAAAAAGCAATTATAGCGCATTTTCAGCAGCCTCTTTCCTGAACAACAGTTGTGATGAGACCATCTCCCATGGTAATGGTTTAATATTATTTCTGAAATCAGTCTTATTTGAGGAATGTGGCATGAAAAAGGTCTGATTACTAGTAAACTTATTTTCCAATGTGTCTCTTTAAATGATGAAACTATTGCCATTTCAAAATATGTTTGTGCGTCGTGTGTGTAAAGGTTCCTTTGGAGTGAATTTTAATATAAAGGCACTGCCTTGAAACTCATTAGTGGTCCGCTGGCTTCCTTAGGCATGGAGGTCAAGTTCCAGCATGAGGTATGTAAAAATAAATACTATAAAGCAATAATAATAATGGTAATTACAAATCGCTCGCAAAGAAAACATTCAATGAAATCATTCCAAATGTGCATCCATTATTATTTTTATCATGTGTTTTAAAGTAAGATATAGCCTAATGTACTGTGGAACAACGAAAGCAGTTGAATTATCACCTAATGTCATCAATATGGAAATTCTCAAGTTATGAAGCAGTGTTAGAAATGAGGGGGGGGGGGGACACCATTTTTCATGACTGCTCTGCAAGTGTCCCAGATACAGCCCTGTGTTAATATTAGAGACTGTCTGAAGAGACATGAGTTCCCCAGACTCCAGCCCCTTCTCCATGTACTAAAGACATATTGAACATTTACGGTTTGCAGAGACTACCTGCATCTCTACTAGATGCATCTCTACAGGATGACAGTTGCACAATTCAGTGAGAGAAAAGCCTGAAGCAATAGATTAAAATGGGGCTCTGACCTTCCTCGCATATTTCTCCTTTGTATCCTGGCACACAGATGCAGACTCCCATGATGCAGGTGCCGTGACCAAAGCACGTTGGGTCAATGCATTGCTCTTCTGGAACGTCGCACTCTGGCCCCTTCCAGCCATTTCGGCAGACACAGTGTCCTTTCTCGTATTCTCCATTCCCACCACACAGCACAGGGCACGAATCTGAAGGTTGGCAAATGAACTTGTAGTGTTCTCAAAATGCTTTTAAAATCTCCAAAGAGCAATCGTCTATTGATTCTTGTGTAATATTTCGGGCAAAAATTTGTACTATTTCTAACTTAGCCTTTATTAAACAGGCACATCCTTGCGATTACAAATAGAATTTTCCTCTTATGAGAGAGGAAAAAGGATAAGTTATGAAAATATCCTGCGTGAAGCAATTATTTCAAGTATGTGCTCTTCATCCCAACATACCGTTAAACAACTATTATTATTATTACTACTGTTATCATTATTTTAAACCAAGGTTTTATTTTTTCTCTTATGGCTTTTCTTCCTCAAACAGATGTACGCCACTTTTAGAAAGAAAAACCTGCAAATTTTAAAAACTGATAAACAGGGAGTATAAAATGTTATCTTTAAAAAGTCGTATATTTGAATACATTTATGCTGGACAGATGTCTACTCCCGTGACACCTGGTGCAGACCTTTATTAGAATACTTAAACTCTGCTTTGTCATTGTTGGCTCCCTATTAAAACTATGGGCTCCTTGAGGGCAGGGCCTGTATCTTCTGTCTTAGTCAATTTTTAATACCAGCCATCTTCTTCCTAATCCCCACATCCTCCAGATCTGTCATGCTCCCAGGAAGCCAGCAAGTGCTATAGAATTCTCAGCTGAGCAGAATTTAATCTAAGGGAATCTGAGTGGCTGGGAAACCTGAGATTAAAGTATTAGCAGACTGAGAACCGTAAGAATACACTGAAAATGAGCAGAAAGCATCTCTACCATAGTAACTGTACGCATGGGGTGAAACGCAGTGTGATTTATCTAAAGCTTTTCGAGAATTAAACTACGGGCAAGTCGAGGAAACAGTTTGCTGTTTGCTGTTTGCTGTTTGCTGTTTCACTCATGACTTGCCAGTCTTTACTTTCTAAGGCTCCTTATCGGTTTGCTGGTTGTCTATCCCTTTCCATTTACGCGGGTGTATATAAGCAGTTACAGACGACCCCGGTACAAATTCCACCCGTTCGGTAACTGCCTATCGCCCCTCTCTGAGGTTGTTTCTTGGCACAATAAGCTGGGATAACAGTAGATCTACGTCATCGGTTTCCACAGGATGTATGATTCAGAAGAGGTAACAGAGTGTTTATAACAAACAGTCTGTGGCAGAGTAAGTGCTCAGCTTTTGGTTGTGGTGGGGGGGTGGTGGTTTGCTGCTACTCCTATGGCCACTTCTCTTCCTCCTCTTATTGCTACTGATTCCGAGTTCTCAAAAGACGTGTATATCCCCAAACCAATTGGAATAACAGAGCAACATTACCTCTCGCGCAGTCAGGCCCCAGGAATCCTGGGAAACAATGACAATGGCCAGAGATACACTCTCCATTTCCATTGCAATTGGTTGAACAGTCATCCATTATTTCTGTTAATAGAGAAAAAGGAAAGAAATGAGCAAACTTCCAGGCTGTAGAGTCCTTAACTTTTTTTTTTTTTTAAATTGCAAGAACTCTGGGTCTATAACAATCTTGCCCTCTCCTGTCTTGGAGCACTTACTGTTTAAAATCAGATGCCAAAGATTTCTGTAAGATGTCACATGTAGTACCAAATTATTACAAGGGCCCTGGATTTGCTGAATTGGCTATTCAAGAGTGAAACTAAAAACCAACCTCATCTCTAAAGTGCATAAAGGGTCTAGATGAATTGTATTCTTATGAGATGTTCGTGACAAAGCTAAAAATGTACTAGAATTATAGGATATTTCTCAAAAGCAAAATGGGCTTAAAAATGCAACCCAAAAGACTAAGTCTACTGTTTATTTTTCAAGTTTAGGTTGTAGCAAATAAAAAATTTCTTCTCTAGCACCTTAAAATGTTTAATCTACTATCTTGACAGCTTAAATATGATAATCAGTATTTCATTTTCATTAATAAGTGACAATGGGAGGCTTTTAAAGTAAGTGTTCATATTAAATTCACCACCACTAAAAGCATTAGAACCTAAGTATTTTGTTGAGAAATGCTTTCTTGACTGTAAATGCTTATCAGTTCTCCGCCACTAATTTCCCTTCAATACATTCTTAGAGAAGAATAGGCTTCAAGGGAATTGAGAAGGCTTTAAAGGCGCCCATAGGTAGTTCTGGTGACATAAAGATGTGCAGTGCGACAGAACTTTGATAAGTCTTGTGGTTAGTAATTTGGCTGAAAAGGTAGGAAGTTATACAAAAGTCAGGCTCTGACAATGACAAAAATTATTTCTAGTTTAAAATTGTATTTGAGTATAATAAAGTCAAATTCCAAGTCCATGAACTCTTATGGTATGTGTGCTTTCTTCTTTCAGTTTTTTTTTTTTTTTAAATCATCTTCTCATTACTCTTTCTGGAAGTTTTCCATACTTAGCATTCTTGGATTCAGAGTTTTACGTTCTGGCCCATTAAACTCACACTTCTCATATGTACCAGTTTTTCCTTTTCAATCCAAATTATCTACTTCATCTCGTTTCACTTGCATAAGCTATTTCCAATTAGAAGGAGATATTCTAGGAAGTGGTCTTGGCGTCTTCTACTCCGCTGTGAGAATTCATAATGAGGGCCGAGAAATAGCATTTCTTCAATTGTGGCCTTCTGACCACTTGGATCAGTAGATCACCCAAAACACTTACAATGTAGATGCCTAGGCTTCCCTCCAGACCTACTGAATCTGAAGGATGCAGCCCAGGAATCCACAGTCTAACAAAAACCTCAGGTGACCCTGCAGGTGACTCACCTCATTAAGGCACTGAGAACCAATGCTTCAAATAGGAAACTTCCATAGTTAGAGAACTTCTGATCTAGACTTGGGGTTCGGCCTTGGGTAGAATAAACGCCAAGAGGAAGAAAGTGGTATCTAGTTTTGGGGGGAATTCTTAGAAAGCCGAGAATGAATCCAGGGGCTGTGTACATAGCCCCCTATTATCACTCAGAAGAGGTTCTTCTTGTCACCCCTGTGTGAATACATCAGATAGCTTTTTGCAGGTTTATGATAATCTGTTCTCTGATCCCTGTGCTAGAAAACTGAACTGGATAAGAAATTTATACGTGGCATTTGCTGAGCGACAACTGGTCTGACAGGAACGGAACGTTTGACAAAGAGCTGACCATTTTTAACTTCTTAAAACACTCGTTATTTTCATAAAATCATTAACTTCTTTAAAAGGTGCTGAAAAGGCACAGAGTTTTTTCCATTCAAAGACGGAACAATTACGTCTCCAGTTTCTATTTAATCTATGTTTCTTGTGCCAAGCGATAGTGGCAGTTCTTAAATCTACATTTGGATTTCCCCTGCCCTGGATGGTTAATAGGAGGTCATGGAGGAAGCTTTCAAAGGTAAATATAGTTGAATTTAATTTCACACCAGCTCCTATTGACAACCTTATGCAAGCAGCCTTGTGGGAATGTAGCTATTGTAGAAAAAATGTTTAATAAAGTTTGCTATCAAAATAAATAAAAATCCCTACATCTTATTGACTTATCTAAGATCTGTCTCTGGGCCCACACTGCCGCACAGAACTTAACACCAGCAATGCAAATGAGAAGAGAAGGCAATATAGGGAGGACCTGGAAGCTGCCACCTCCACTGGGTATCAAAGAGACACTGGGACAGCCCAGGGAATCTAGGAGGAGGATGGCTACAGCAGGAACACATAAGTAACTCATGATGAGAAATAATGTGTTTTTCTATTTATGTTGGCTTCCATGAAATTTTGCCTTCTATCCTTTTTAAAGTTTATATTTATTTATTTATTTATTTATTTATTTATTTATTGAGAGAGAGAGAGAGAGAGAGAGACAGACAGACAGACAGACAGAGGGGAGGGGGAGAGAGAGAGGGACACAGAATCCGAAGCAGGGTCTGCACCGTCAGCACAGAGCCTCATGTGAGGCTCGAACTCACGAACTGTGATATCATGACCTGAGCCGAAATCAAGAGTCAGATGCTTAACTGTTTGAGCCACCCAGGTGCCTCTTGCCTTCTATCTTTTTAATCTTCCTTCAGAATCACTTCCTCAATTGCAGTTCATTAGAGTTGAGAATGATTTTAAAGTTCTATACATAAAACTCTACTTTTATTCTAGAGTCTAAAGCCCCTCGATATCTGCATCTGCACTGATGATGGGTTTTGCTCCTGGCAGGTTTTCTTATGGGAGAAACTAAAGGTAATGGATAATCTGATGGAATGATTACGGCCTGAAGGGCATGGGCTTTGGAGTCAGACATACTTGGTTGTCTCAAATCTCAATTTTGCCACTTGTTGGCTGTGAGACTCTATCAGATTATTTACTCATTTCAAGCCTCCATTTCCTTATTTATTATATAAATATCACTACACCTATGCTATCAGTGTTGTGAAGGGAATCAAACAAGATCATGTTATACAGCAGGTTGGCTGAGATTAGGGGATATTGACAACTCTGTCTATACTACTGGAAAATAACATATATTAATATAGGCCTGTGGCCAGCCTATATTAGTCATTCAATAAATGCTTATTGCTAATATTGTCTTGATCCTTATTAGTGGTGGACCAAATAGGGTTAAGATCAATCAACCGATTCTAACATCATGAAATAAAGAACGAACAGCTAAGAACAGCATTTAGCGTAGTCAAATTGATACAAAGCTTAAATTGTTTAATCAAATATATTAGCCTCTCTTTACTGCAGTTAAATTATAAAAACATAAAAAAATTAATGGGGAGCATTTAGAGCAAATAACTTAATACTTGTGATTTTTTCAGAAATTTACTTGGATTCTCTTTAAGTGGAATTGTAGAAGTGTTTCTGTTACTTTTAATCGTAAAAACACAACAGATGGGTGGCTCAGTCGGTTGATCGTCCGATTTTGGCTCAGGTCATGATATCACGGTCTGTGAGTTCAAGCCCCGCGTCGGGCTCTGTGCTGACAGCTCAGAGCCCGGAGCCTGCTTCGGATTCTGTGTCTCCCTCTCTCTCGGACCCTCCCCTGTTCATGCTCTGTCTCTCTCTGTCTCAAAAATAAACAAACATTTAAAAAAAAATGAAAAACACAACAGAAAAGTAGAAAAAAATGTGACTTGCATAAGGAAGAAGCAAATACTTTGTTGCATATGAAACTGACAGCGTGATATCTGGATAATAGGAATTGTATCTCAAAGATTAGCTTCTTTTTGGGAGGAAGTAAGGGACAGGAAAAAACTTCAAGCATGTTTCTGGGTCTATTGATTTTTGAAAGGTTAATAGTTGGGTTGGTGTTTTAACTTGAGCTTACTGGTAAGGATAACAGGAAGAGAGAAAATCTTCACAAATATTTTAGATCTTCTAACTGTTTGATTTCTTAGGAGGAACTCAACTTCCCATGACTCATTGGCATCTGCATTACCAAAACTGGGCCTTGATAGAAAAACAATATCATGAAAGGTACATCTATTAAATCTGCTCCATTGAGTCTGTTAGCGTTGCAAAAAAGTGTCAGGACTTCAATTTTTTTTTCTAATTTAACAAATACACTATCTTTTGAAGATGTAAAATCTGTGGAGTTTTTCTCCAGGGGAGAAAAAAATAATCGGTGTATTTTTATAGTCTGATTACTTTAGAGGAAAGTTTTTGTTAATATTATGGCTGGAATACCATTTTCTACTGGGTCAAGGTCTTCAGCATCAAGTAAAAATAGAACATAATTGTTATAAAGAGCAGATGGTATGTCTATTAACAGTCAACACATCTTCCTAAACATATGGTTGAACAGGTTAACTAAAGGATAAAGTGGTGAGAGTTGGATAGAAAACGGACAGCTGTAAAATATTTTCCCTTCTTTTAAAAGACATGTGTGTTAGGAAGATTCACACAATAAAATACTATGTCTATGAGATGTTTCCCCTCGGGGCTAAAAAATTCCAAAAGAAAGGGCTATGAGTGGTCCAAGTTATTATCCTTAAGACCCTTCTCTGAATACTCGTAGGTTTTTGATGCCTTAATGGTTCTAGAATTGGTTGTTCTAAAGAAGAGCTGGACTGGTGCTAGTTTCTCCATTTTAAAAGGTATTTATTTGGGGCGCCTGGGTGGCGCAGTCGGTTAAGCGTCCGACTTCAGCCAGGTCGCGATCTCGCTGTCCGTGAGTTCGAGCCCTGCGTCGGGCTCTGGGCTGATGGCTCAGAGCCTGGAGCCTGTTTCCGATTCTGTGTCTCCCTCTCTCTCTCTGCCCCTCCCCTGTTCATGCTCTGTCTCTCTCTGTCCCCAAAATAAATAAACGTTGAAAAAAAAAATTTTAAAAGGTATTTATTTGCTTTGTCTTTTCTAATGGATCTTGAATGAACAGAGATTCTCTTGCTTATTCCCTTTGTCACTGAAGTTGTTCATCTATGCAGCCTTGGTAATAATATTATCCAGGTAACTATTCCTGTCGAAAATACATAAAAAGGTACATGGCAAGTATCCTACAAAGCAGCAAATAATGGAGCATTTAGAAAATCTTAATCAGCATTTAAACAACATTAATGACAACAATAATATAAGCCTTTCTTGTAGTGACCTATCTTGAATAAGGACTTTAAGGCAGAATGAACGATGGGTTGAAATGACATCTGTATCACTTTAATCACTGCTGTCTTTCTAGAATTATACTGTCAATTCAAAATAATAGTCAAGGCAGCTTACCAATTGCTGTAGTTAACACGAATACTTGCTCCATCTTTTTTCCATCATTGTAGAATGCCAGATACCAAGGCCCTTGGTCCATATACTCTATGAAACCTGTCTCCTGCAGTGAGGTTAAGATCAGGTTCCGAGGGGAGTGTTGGGTATCGTCAGAGCCCTTGGAGTCCTGCTTGACCAGCTGTTTTCCATCCATCAATTTTACAAAGTCGAACTGGAACAAATACACGCAAATCTGAGCCACTACTTCTACTTCTAGACTAACGAACATCTCTAACTTCAACTGCTCTCTTCCACACTTCTTTGCTTTGAAAGAGGAAGTTACTCGTTCTTAATTATACTTAAACACAAAAGTATTTTATTAATTCTGAAAAACCCACTATATTTATAAATGTTATAAAATACCTTTCAGTTTTGGAGTATTCAAAATAATTGTCTAAAAATAAATAAACCAAGAGATAGAAAAAAATTGCATTTGGCACTATGCGAGAGAATCTTGATATTTTACTAAAGTATCAGAAGATACTCGAAACCACACATTCCCCTCAAAAACGTTATCATGATCTTCTCTACAAATTTAAGAATTTTACAGTTTTTAAAACAAATAAATAGTCAAAAATTTGAGGACATTCGTAATTTACTACCTTTGTGGTAGCATATTTAAATATTCAAAGAACCCCCTCCTTTTTCCCCCTAATCAGTGGACAAGCGCATGGCACACATTTCCTTGGGCATTTTAAGAGTCACATTTGAATGGCATTCTAATTCCCTGCCTACTCCCATCCAGAAGGTAAGATTTGGACTATGGTCATATCTGTTGGAAAAAAAAAAAAAGCAATCCCCTGATGTTTATGATTCCTTACGCTACTTCTTAGATGGAGCAAGGCCCCAAATGGGTTCGTGCAAGAAAGAGATAAGGGGGAAAAATGAGAGCAATGAGGTGGTTAGCGTTTATAGAAAGGCTTTCTAAACCACAGAAGATTTACGTATTTGAGTTATTATTAACAATAACAAGAAAAAATTTCTACCCATAAGATAAAACCTGCCTTTTAGACTCATTTCCCTTATTGATTTGCATTCTTCATCGGGACAAGGGGTCAAGACCATATGGGGCCAGTGAAGGAGGTATGGTCCCAAAAGCTAAGTAAGATGAGGGGGCCAGGATGGCTCATGATCATCTTATTCCAGGAAACAGAATTCAAATTTCAAGAATATTTTCTTAAACTTCCTTTTCTGAATCTGCTCTGCTAAATGCTATTGCATATTTCTCAGTCATTTTTGTTTTCATTCGTTTGAGTACGATTATTCTGGATGTTTGCTCGTTACAAAAACTGTCTGCCTTCACCTTTGATTCTCACATACTTTGCAAGTCACAAACCCTGAACTGTTCATCCCACCACCCTCCAAAGGGTCAAGAAACACCTATAACATCAAATACCTGAGTGTGTGTAGGTGGAATGTTTCTTCTGCCATAAATTCCCAGCAGAGAGTCCTTGGCTAAAGAAATATTGAATTTCAGATATATAGGATGGTGGATAGTAATCTGGAAACGCCAGAATAAGCCAGGTGGAATGGTCTGCATGACTTGTGCACCAATGTCAACTTCTCCGGTGTCTATCGCCCGTCCCTTCTGAAACACTGGTTTTAAAGGTAAAGAAAATTACAGATAATATTAATCGTAATTTATAAAGCGATGATTTTTAGCTTTTCAGGACAAAAATATCAAAATGACTTACTAAGGTCTTTTTTCCACCACCCTACCCATATTTCAGGGTTTTACACAAATGATCTTCCAAGAAGACTTCCCTAACCAACCACTATACCAGTATCTCCCTTCTCTTGCATTACTGTTACATTTATTTCCATAACTTGATTCATTTTAATCATTATTAAATGGTTAAATTTAAATGGTTAAATGCAGGCAATACAAAGATGAGCAAGATGAGCTACTTGCTCTCAAGGAGCTCTGAATATAAGAGAAGAAATAGGACAAATGCACAAATAACCATGTTGTAAAGGAAAATAAATGATTTGGGTATTCAAAGGAGTAAGGAGTATTTGATTGGAGGATACTCCTCATTCCTAGCAGTCTCTATGCCCTTTATCTTCCTTTATTTTTCTTCTTAGTACTTACATCCCTAACATACCACATGTTTTACTTGTTTATTGTTTATTGCCTATTTTCTCCCAAGAGAATATAAGCTCCATGAGGCTGTGGCTGTTTTGTTCATTGCTTTATCCCCAGTAACTAGAAGAATGTATGCAAATAGTATGTGATCCATACATATTTATTCAATGAGTGAATGAATGAATGAATGATTTAGAAAAGGGTATTTATGGGAAGTAGTATTGAAGATGGGCCTTAAAGGGAAGAGAAGATTTCAACAGAGCTGTTGACAAGAATTTTCCACATGAAAGGAATACTTTGTACCAAAAAAAAAAAAAAGAGGAGAGTCATTAAAGGTTTTTAAGAAGAAGGGAGATATTTGGATACATTAGAAAAACTAATCTTGAGGCAGAAGGTAGAATGATTTAGAGGTGGAAACACAAGGATGATAGAGAATTATGGAACAATAATTCAGGTGAAATGACCTAAAGATCTAAATTTACAGTGGGCTCAACAGTTCACGTGGAATAAGTACAGTCCAGTCACCTGTAAAATAAACAAGTGGGGCTACACCAAACTAAAGAGCTCTGTACAGCAAAAGAAACAATTAAATAAATTGAAAAGGCCATATACAGAATGGGAGAAAGTTACCTGCAAACCATATATCTAATAAGGGATTACTATCTAAAACACACAAAGAATTCATACAACTCCATAGTAAAAAAAAAAAAAAAGCAAATAATCCAACTCAATAGCAAAATAGCAAATAACCCAATGTAAAAATGGGCAAAGGACTTGAACATACATTTTTCCCAAAAAGGCCAATAGGTATATGAAAAGGTACTCAACATCACTAATCATTGGGGAAATGCAAGTCAAAACCACAATGAGATAGCACCTCATACCCGTTTGGTTGACTAGTATCAAAAGATAAGAAATAACAAATGTTGGTAAGGACATGGAGAAAAGGGAACCCTTATATGCCATTGGTGGGTATGCAATAATGGTACAGTCATTTTGGAAAGCAGTACAGTGGTTTCTCAAAAAAATAGAACTACCATACGATACAGCAATCCAACTTCTGTGTATATATGAAAAGGAACTGAAATCAGGATCCTGAAGACGTATCTACACAGCCACATTCACTGCAGCATTATTCATAATAGCCAAGATATGGAAACAATCTAAATATCCTTTGATGGATGAATGGATAAAGAAAATGTGATACACACAAACACACACACATACACACACACACACACTACTCCATTGTGTGTATATATGTATGTGCATATACACACACAAGCAATGAAATATTATTCAGCCACAAAAAAGAAGGAAGTGCTCCCAATTGCAAAAATATGGATGAAGCTGGAGGGCATTATGCTAAGTAAAATAAGCAAGACAGAGAAAGTCAAATTCTATATGATATCACTTATGCATGGAATCTAGAAAAGAATAAAAGCCAATCTCATAGAAACAGAGACTAGAATGGTTGCCAGGGCTGGAGGGAGGGGGTAACAGGGTGATGTAGGTCAAAGGGTACAAATTTTCAATTATAAGCAGGAGCTCTGACAATCTGACATAGAGCATGGCGACTGTAGTTAACAAGATGGTATTACACACTTGAAAGTTGCTGAGAGTAGATCTTAAGCATTCCTACCACACCAAAAAAGTTAACTATGTGAGTGTGAGGTGATGGATGTGTTAATTATCCTGACCTGTTTGATCATTTCTACATTGTATGTGTATATGAAATCATCACATTGTCTACTTTAAATATATACAACTATATTTGTCAATTCTTCCTCAATAAAGTTAAAAAAATCACATATTATTGAAGAAGTATAAAACCGGGTTATCCTAAAGAATGATACAAATATCAATGAACTTCAGATTACTCTACATTTTAAAAATCTTATTGTACTTTCAAGCATAAATACTAAAAAAATAAAAATTTATTTTTCACACTAGCATAGAGAAAATAATATGGAGATAAAAAATAACTTATCTAAACTAAGGCAAGACAGGGAAGGCACAGACTAGATGGATCAATCGGAAAACAAAGAAGATGGAAGATAAATTATAAAAAAATAAAGAGCAATGAACTAAATGCTTGTGTCACAAGGTAAGAGTCATCACTCTGAATTAAAAAGTAAAATTTAAAGACATTTTTTTTTTACCAAAAGTCAAAAGTATATCTAAAATATAAAGAGACTTATTTATAATAATAAAAGTTATTTTCTCAGGAAGAAGAAAAAAAGAAAGAAGACAATATAAAGGAAGATTCTAGAGCAGCACTTCTCAAACTTGAATGTGCTTAAGAAGGGCGTCTTTTTAAAATGCAGTTATGATAAAGTAGGTCTGAGGTCAGATATTTCTCACAAGTTCCCAAGTAATGCCCGTGTTGCATGGTACACAGCATACACACTGAGAAGCAAGGTTGTTAGGACACTGGGACACTAGGTATGGGGGCTGAGGGAGGGTCAAAACTTACTCCATGGTTGTGAGTTTGGGTGACTCAGACAATGCCAGTAGCAAATACAAGAAGCCTAAAAGGAGCTAGTTAGTGTGAGAGGGTGCTGAGTTTGGACAAGAAGGTCTTTATTATTTATTTCCTAATTTTCTAATTATTTCTGAGGTACTCTATTACTATATGCTTCTGTGGAATTCTCTGTTGAGTGGAGGGGGGAGGGAAGGGATAGAAGAGGAGGGGCAAGAATTAGTTTGCCTTGACTCTAAGCCACAGGATTGCACCTCAGGGGGGAATTCAATTTGGCCTCTTTCCACACGGCCTTTATATTTTTCAGCCATCAACTCTTTCTCCACACCAAACACAGTTTAAAAACACACATGGTCTCTGTCCTTTGTGTTCACTTGCTATAAAATTAACAGCCCATTAAGAAACACACCTGCAGTGGCTTTATTCAGAGGCCAATGCCTTGTAGCTTTTAACTCCCTAAAATACCTCCATTATTGCTTTTTGTGTTAAGGCCAAGAGTAATAACTATTTTAAGAATGTTCACTGTTAACTGTTAATAATAGATTTCAAATGCAATTTTGAGCATAATTATGTATTACAGGACACATAATTTTGTGGAATTGACATTTATAATAAAATATGCCCTTTGAGATGATAAATCACCAACTGAGGACCTTATTTTTCATTGAAAGTTACTTTTTCCCATGTGAGACAGAACAGTCTTGTCCCCAAAGGGTTGATTATACATTTAACTCCTAAGGTCCCGGAGCTGACAAATGTCTTCAAAGAGCAGACAATTAATAGACCGTGTTTATGTGGATACTTCCACTTTCAACTTAATGTTCAGTTGGTTCAACGGCCATCCTCATCAGGGGCTCTTATCACTTCTTAAAATGCATCATTTGGTTGTGCAAACAATATTATAAATATAAAATAATTTAAAATTAGGTTTGACAAACACTATTTTAACGGTGCTATGAATGACCTTTAATGAATGCAGACGCGGTCATTAAAAAAAAATCAGGGCAAAACTGGCTGATGGACATTAACCTTTATATACGAGCCTTACCAAATGCTACACCGTGTTTCCCTTCTGCACTTTATAGCATCATATACTGTATAATGAGGCTACTTAAATGTTATTCACTAAATCAAAAGATACTCATGAAGTCGTGTTGTTGGAGTTTCCCAGTTCCTAGCACTAGTAAATATCTGAAGCATATATGCTAAGTCATTTATAAAAAATGATTTTAAAAGATGGTCTTACCCTTTGAGATCCTGCATCAGAGTTAAAACAAGATAGATGAAGAGACATGACAACATGAATGAACATGTGGACTATAATTTAAATAAAAATAGCAAAGCAAGCGAGTTGCAGCAATTTGGTGTCGAAGAGAAATTCTCACAGCTTGCAAATGGAAAATTTCTCAACCTCTAACCTTTAGAATTGAGTGCATCAGAAAGGAAGACATCTCCCTGTTAGCAATCTACATCACTAAACAACCTGCTCCATTTTATCTTCTCTCAAAATTTGTTATGGGTTATGATGTAGTGATTATTAGTCAATTTACTCTTTAATTTTTTTCTTAATGTAGCTCAAAGGGGGAAGCGAAAGAGAAGAAAATTACATGCAGGCCAACAATATGTGATGTGATTTCCTAAAAACATTCTGCACCAATATAAGTAAGTGGGGTAGGTGTGGTCAAACTTAACATTGACCCTGATCCTTCAGTTGCGAAGTGTCAGCAGCAGAGTTAAAATGTGGCACTCAGGTATGGTTTTTGTAATAATTCATGTTTTAATTGTCGTTTAACCAGTTACACTCCTACAGCATATCAGAAGGTCTAGGAAGACCAAACTCTCCAGTAACAGAACACGCCCTTGCACAAATCCAAGAGCAAGTGTGGGCTGCCATGGATCATATCAAACTGTGCAGTACTGTACTTATCACAGTCTCACCAATATCCACCAATTTAGTTTGAGCTAAACACTCTCTTTATAGGTTGCAACACAGGCATCAACTGCTGAGTGGTAAAAAACAATGGCAGA